AGGGGAGGAGCGGCCCGCAGTGGGATGGCCGGGCCCGGCTGGCACAGACAGGGAGACTGAGGCCAGGGCGGGTCAGGGGCTTGGCTGAGGTCACACCGCAGGCGGCAGAAGAGGGCCCCAGCCCCACCGTGTCCGCCACGATGCCGGGGTAGCCCGGGGAGTTTCCCGAGGGAGCTGGCGCCGGGCCCTGGGAATCTGAATGGCCTTGGGTCCAGGCCCCCCCCAGCCCGCTGGACAGGGCGGCCACCGGGCCCGGAAAGACCACAGTCTGGAAAGGAGGCAGACCCTGGTCCTTTCTGTCCACCGTCGTCCTCAGGCCCCTGCAGAACAAAAGGGTGTTCCTGGCCACCTTCGCTGCCGTGCTGGGCAACTTCAGCTTCGGATATGCCCTGGTGTACACGTCCCCCGTCATCCCCGCCCTGGAGCAGTCCCTGGATCCGGATCTGCACCTGACCAAAACCCAGGCATCCTGGTTCGGGGTAAGGACCGTGCTCTGAGCTTGGGGGGGGCGGCGGCAGGGACCCACTGAGCAGTGATCTCTCAAAAGCTCTGTCCTGACACCCCCTCGAGGGCCCTGCCCCGCTTCCAGTCTGCTGGCGGCTGGGGTGAGGCTAGGTGATTGCTCTGAAATGAGGAAGTGAAAGCCACTGGGAAGGCCTGGGAAGGAACAGGTGGGGAGGTGTCCCAAAAGGTCTCCGCCGGACGGGGTGAGGGCTCACAGCTGGGCTGGGGCAAGGAGGGTCCCCCAAACAGACTGTGGGCTGACAGAGAGGAAGACCCCCTGCCAAGCGCTCCAGATTCTGGAGTTACAATCCTAGTAGCCTCCGATTTAGAATTGCAACATAGTAGGCAAGATGAAAATACCCAAGGTTTACTGAGCACTCAGTATGCCCCAGGGGTGTGCAGGGAACTTTATATGAGAGCTCATTGTCTCCCAGGGCCAAGCCATGAGTTAGGAACTTTTGCTCTCCCCATGACACAGCTGAAGAACCTGAGTCTTAGACAGGCTACACAACGGGCCGAGTCCCATGGACTGGGTCCTGGTCACCACACTCTACAGGGAATTTAAGAACTCAAAATCCTAAAGTCCCAGGGCTGTCAAGTCCCAGAAATCTGTATTAAAATTTTGGACGCTTAGGCCAGGTGCTGTGGCTCATGCCTGTAACCCCAACACTTTGGAAGACCGAGGCAGGGGGATCTCTTGTGCCCAGGAGTTCAAGACCTGCCTGGGCAACATAGCAAGACCTTGTCTCTACAGAGCATCAGAAAATTAGCTAGGCATAGTGGTGTGAGCCTGTAGTTCTAGCTACTTGGGAGGCTGAGGAGGAAGGATTGCGTGAGCCCAGGAGGTCGAAGCTGTGGTGAGCCAGGATTGCATTATATTGCACTCCAGCCTGGGCGAAGGAGATCCCAACTCCAAAAAAAAAAAAATTGGACACTTAAGCATCAGGCTGGACAGAACTGAGGATACGTAACACCACCTCTTCCTGGGGTAGAACTCTCCTCGTTAGCACTCCTAACAAATGGTTGTCCACACACTACTTGGACATCTCTTGAGACAGGAGACTCACTACCATCACTGACCTGAGTCCTGTTCCTGCTCTTGGAGTCAGCCCAGAGAAGAAACATCTCTAGACTCTCAGGTGACACGAGGGGACTCAGTGCCTAGACGTGTCTGTCTGTGCCTCCTGTCTCTGCAGTCCGTGTTTACTCTGGGAGCAGCGGCCGGAGGCCTCAGTGCCATGGTCCTCAACGACCTTCTGGGCCGGAAGCTCAGCATCATGTTCTCGGCTGTGCCCTCAGTGGCCGGCTATGCGCTCATGGCGGGGGCCCGCGGCCTCTGGGCGCTGCTGCTTGGGAGGATGCTGACGGGCTTTGCTGGAGGGCTCACGGCTGCTTGCATCCCGGTAAGGCCAGGACCTCCCACCCCCCCATCCCCCAACTGGCCTCCATGTCTTCTGGCTAGTGAGAGTATGTTTGTCTTCCCTTGGGGCCTCCTGATTGAGGGGAAATTGTCCCCCTGTCCTCAGCCGCCCCTGCCCTGGACTCTCCAAACCTCCCACCCCATTTCTCGACCCGTCAAAGGCATTGCTCAATTGGAGAAATCCACATTGAGCAACAAGGGGAGAAAGGGAAGTCCCTGCCCTGTCCCCTCCCCGGGGCCTTCCTAAATTATCCAGTATGCCACACACCCAGTCAGCTGGGGAGGCAATAACACTGGGGAAACTGACCCACTCAGCCCCAGGTCTGGAGCTCAGTGCTGCCGCCCGCCCACTTTACAGTTGGGAAAACTGAGGACAGGCAAGCTGCCCGAGGCCACGCTGTGAGTCGTGATGGGACAAACCCCGCCACAAGCCCCCTCTTCCCACTTCCCAGGGCTCCCAGGGGCCACCTCTCCCACCGAGGCCAGGCCAGGATGCTGCGTTCTCACCAAGCCCGGTGTGGGTGGGCGTGTCTTGCAGGTATACGTGTCTGAGATTGCCCCCCCTGTCATTCGTGGGACTCTGGGGGCCACACCCCAGCTCATGGCAGTGTTCGGATCCCTGTCCCTCTATGCCCTTGGCAAGTATGGTCCTGCATGCCTTTGCAGGCTTGGGGGAGTGGAGGGTGCCCTGAAGCAGACGTGGGTGGAAAGAGAATGAACATAACCCAGAACAGACCCGGGCAGGGAGGCAGGAGATCCAGCTTCCCGGCCTCACTCAGCCAGCCCCTCGCTGTGGCTTCCAGGCTGTGCCCGCCCCCCAGGCATGGACCCAGTCCCGAACTGGGCAGCCAGGGTTTTCCCTGGACAACAGTCTTCAGTCTACCTTTTTAAAATTTTTCTGAGTCAGGGTCTTGCTCTGTTGCCCAGGCTGGAGTGCAGTGGTATGCTCTTGGCTTACCACAGCCTTGACCTCTGGGCTCAGATGATCCTTCTACCTCAGCCTCCCAAGTAGCTAGGACTACAGGCACGTGTCACCAAACCTGGCTAATTTTTTTATTTTTTTGTGGAGACGAGGTCTCGCTATGTTGCCCAGGCTTGTCTCAAACTCCCAGGCTCAAGCGATCCTCCCAAAATGCTGGGATTACAAATGTGAGACATCACGCCCAGCCCTCAGTCTACCTTAACAGCAGAATGCTGCCATCCAATAGGATCTCAGATGGGAAATCCGTGTAGAAAAGAGACCAGAGTACAGTCGCTCATTGAGGCGGGATAGAGGTTTGGGGGTGGAGGCCCGGTTACCTATTCAGCCAACCCCTCCTCGCCCCACCATGATCCTTGGGACCCTCCAAGGATCTTCCACAGTGTGCAGAGGCTGGGCAATCTCTGCAGCACCTCTCTGCCTTTAGACTGCAGTGGCCTGGGACAATCAGGGTAGGCTTCCTGTAGGAGGCTGCCTTTGGACTAGACTCTGAAGGGCAGAGGAGGCTGCTCAGAGGCTGCAGAGGGAGGGGGCTCTGCCAGGCCCAGACCCCAGCCCCTCACGCCCTTCCGCCTGCAGGCCTCCTGCTGCCGTGGCGCTGGCTGGCTGTGGCTGGGGAGGTGCCCGTGCTCGTCATGATCCTTCTGCTCAGCTTCATGCCCAACTCGCCGCGCTTCCTGCTGTCGCGGGGCAGGGATGACGAGGCGCTGCGGGCGCTGGCCTGGCTGCGCGGGGCCGACACCGACATCCGCTGGGAGTTCGAGCAGATCCAGGACAATGTCCAGAGACAGGTGCAGGAGGGACGGGGTGTCCGCGTCGGCAGCCCCAGCCCCGTGTGCCGCAGCCCGTCCCCAGGCCTCCCTGAGTCCCGGTGGCTTCCCCCGCTAATCCAGGCGCCCGGGGCTGGGGGAGCTGTCCCCAGAGCCTGGCTGGCCTGGTGGGCTGGCGCCTTCTCGGGGAGGGAGGAAGGGGGTTTCCTGGCGTCGGGGCAGGGTGGCTCCTGCCGGAGAGACTGGCGCAGTGCCCTGAGCGGTGGCCTGGTGTCTCCAGAGCAGCCGCGTGTCGTGGGCTGAGGTGCGGGACCCGCACATGCACCGGCCCATCGCCATCGCCCTGCTGATGCGCTTTCTGCAGCAGCTGACGGGTATCACGCCCATCCTGGTCTACCTGCAGTCCATCTTCAACAGCACCGCCGTCCTGCTGGTGAGAGCGTGGCCGCGGCCGGGCACCAGCCTACAGGGTCCTGCCGAGTGGGCGGGGCAGGGCCGGGTGTTGGGGGTAGAGCAGCGAGACCTGGACCGTGGAGAGAGTTTCTGTGCCATGCACCATTCTCAGAATGGTGTGTTTAAGTGAAGCGAACTATTTAAAAAATATAATACATGGCAGGCCCAGTGGCTCACGCCTGTAATCCCAGCACTTTGGGAGGTCAAGGAAGGAGGATTGCTTGAACCAGTTCAAGACCAGCCTGAGTAGCATAGCAAGACCTGTCTCTGCAAAAACAAAAAGAAAAAAAAAAAACCACAACCAAAAAAGCCCCACACACAATATACAGGATGACAAAGGAAACCGGTTTTATAAAAATACAGACCCTTAAGCCGGGTGTGGTGGCTCACACCTGTAATCCCAGCACTTTGAGAGGCCAAGGCGAGAGGGTTGCCTGAGTCCACAGGTTTGAGACCAGCTTGGACAACATGGTGAGACCGCATCTCTACAGTAAATCAAAAAAGTCACTAGGTGTCGTGGTACATGCCTGTAGTTTCAGCTACTTAGAAGGCTGGGGCAGGAGGATTGTCTGAGCCCAGCGGGCCGAGGCTGTGACGGCCGTAAGCGTGCCACTGCACTCCAGCCTGGGGGACAGAGTGAGTCCGACTCAAAAAAAAGGAGAAG